GAAAATTTATACCCCTAAAATAAGTGTATATTTATTATATTCATTTATCTATAATAGCACTTCTTTTATGTCTATTATTACTCTTTGTATACAATTTATTTGTAGACCCTGATACAAGTAGAAGGATAGGAGTATGAATTTTATGTGATAAAATACATGTTAAACATTGTCTTTGTCGGTATTGTTAATTTACGGGAGCAAGAATAGTTTTTTTACGAAAAATAGTTTTTTTTATTATTTCTAAATAGTTTTTATATATATTTCTAAATATATATATTTGCAATTAGATATTAATGATTTTTATGAAAAATAGTTTTTTTTATTATTTCTAAATGTTTTTATATTTCGTTCAAATTATAGTTGTTTAATGACCGGACACCACTAACAAAAGAAGATATAAAAAATGTCTGTTCATATTGGCCATCTTTTTTTTTTGAGGTTTATGAGTCAAGTGTACGCAGATTTTGTCTGTTGATTGGATATTTGATTTTAAACCATTCGATATAGTATGTGTGCCATTTTAATTTTGATGTAAATAATATATGATTTTAGTATATAACGTGTGTGATTTTGGTATGATGTAGAAAAATATTGTTTTGGTACAAGTTGTGTGACATTTTAATACATAATATAGGATTTCCCTTTGATATGTCCAACCAAAGAGAAAAGTAGCGGGGTTTGAAGTCCTTACTCACTTTCTCCTAATATTAATACTTCAAAGTACTTTTTTAAACAAGACCATAAACCATCATTAATTTATCAAACTAGTTAGTCACATCTTTAAAGTACAAATTCCATTGGTTTGAAGCAGGGCCGGCCTTTCACAGGCGCAACAGGCTCTATGGAACTGGGCCCCAAAATTTTGGGGGCCTATTTTTTTTTTTTTTAAATCTAATTAATATGAAAAAATTTAAAATATATATTATTTTTCCTCATTCCAAACGCAACCTAAAACCGAAAAGACGCCAAGAAAAATGAAACGTCGGCATTAAAGAAACCCAAAACAAAGTTGTTTATATACATCACATAATAAACCAAAAACAAAACAATATTAGAAAGAAAAAAACAAAACGGCGACGGTGAGAGTGTGAGACGACGGCAGTGCAGTTTAATCGGTAAGTTTGTTCAAATCAAAGTAGTTTATCTTCATGTTTTGAAAGAAAAAAAATATAAAATTAAAGAAAGAACATACATAGATAGAAACTTGTATGTGTTTCTTGGTTTATGATTCTTTCTCCCATGGCTCTATTGTGTTTTTTTTCTCCTAAAATTCTAAAATTGGTTGAGTTAATTTTACTGTAAAAAGAAAAGAAGAAATGGGTTAAGTTAGGTTTCAAAGAAGAAAGAAGAAAAGAATAGAGATGGAGAAATGAATAGAGAATAGTGAGTGCCGAGTAGTAGCTGTCAAATAAATGGTATAAGTAGAATAATGAGTTATGAGATTATTTTGTATTTTTTTATTACTTTATACTTTTGAGTTTTGATTAGTTCATATTAAAAACTAATTGAAAAGTAGAAAGGTTGCAAGTTGTCAAAGAAGTGTGATAGAAAGATTGCAAGCTGTCAAAGAAGTGCTTTTTATATTGTTGTGTCAAGAGTATGTCATTTCTATGTGTGTGACTCATTCAATTATCTCAATAGACAATAGTTTATGATAGAATCTAAAATTTAGAATTAATTGTAATAGAAAATATCAACAACAGTAAGATTAAATTAAAAATAATTAATTTTGGAGCATTTTATTTTCTGTATATTTCATAGTAGTGTTAGTAAAAATAGTGATAATATAATTAAAGTATTATTAATAAATAATAATCCCATTTTATGATGATTACAAACATGTTTTTTTTTCCTGGTACTATTTTTGCTTGCACTAATTAATAATTTATTGTAGGAACTTAATTTAACAACGAGGCTACAAATAGATCGATTGCTAGTAAATATTGCAGAGTTGATCATTGGCGGACACAAGACATTGTGAGATATTCCAGGTTTTTTTTTACTATGCCTCCTATTATGCCTCCTAAGAATAGAAAGTATGAATGTGGAAATGATAAACGTAAGAAAAGGAAAAAAATTGAAGAGTTAATTCAATCTCAAGCAGGAGCTCTTGATAAATTTTTGATAAAAGAACCACAAGTTCCAAATGAAAGTCATTATGTTGATAATACTAATGTTGAAATTCTTGATAGTGTGCCCATTGAAAATGATAATGTTGATAGTGTGCCTATTGAAAATGATAATGCTGATAGTGTACCTATCGATGATGAAGTTAATAATGATGATGATAATCTTGAGGAAGTTAATGATGATGATGATGATGATGATGATGTTGATTACGATATATTTGATCCAAGAAATTGGGATCGTCTTCAACCTAAAATGATTGATTTATTAGTTATGAAAGGGCCTAAACGGGATAATTCTATTGTGAGGGGTCCTAGAGATAATTGGAATCGACGCTTTACGACTAATTTGTATACTAGAGCTTTAGCAAATGGAGAGAAGTGTGATAGAGATTGGCTTGTTTATTCAAAAGAGCTTGATAGAGTATTTTGTTTCTGTTGTAAAGTTTTAAAAAATGGGATTGGTAGGGGACAATTAGCAAATGAGGGTTATAGTGATTGGTCACATGTTGGTGCAAGAATTAAAGAGCACGAGTTAGGCATGGAACATGTTAAGAATATGACTACTTGGTATGAGTATCGTCAAAGGTTGCAGAAATTTCAAACTATTGATAAAACGACTCAAAGATTAATTGAGAAAGAAAAGGATCACTGGAAAAATGTTTTAAAAAGAGTTATTTCAATAGTGAAATTTCTTGCTAAACATAATTTGGCATTTCGTGGTTCTAAGGAAAAGTTGTACGAAGATAGCAATGGCAACTTTTTGGGTTTGATTGAAATGTTAGCTGAATTTGACCCAATTATCCAAGAACATGTTAGACGTGTTACAACTCAAAAAGTTCACACTCATTATCTTGGACATAAAATACAAAATGAGTTGATTTCATTACTTGGTTCTGCAATTAAAATTGAAATCATTAGAAAAATCAAACAAGCAAAGTATTTCTCAGTAATACTTGATTGTACTCCGGATGTTAGTCACCGAGAGCAAATGTCTTTGATAATAAGATATGTGGATGTTTCTTCAACTTCTATTAGCATTGAGGAATCATTTTTAGGATTTTTGAATGTGAATGATACAACTGGTCAAGGGCTTTTTGATGTTTTACAAAATGAATTGAAAGAACTTGGTCTCGACCTATTTGATGTAAGAGGACAAGGTTATGATAATGGGTCAAATATGAAAGGAAAACATCAAGGTGTACAAAAGCGATTTTTAGACATAAATCCAAGAGCTTTTTATACTCCTTGTGGTTGTCATAGTCTTAATTTGACATTGTGTGATATGGCTAACTCTTGTAATAAAGCTAGGAATTTTTTTGGAGTTGTTCAACGCATTTACACAATTTTTGCTAATTCAACAAAGAGATGGCAAATTTTGAAAGATAATGTAAAAGGGTTGACTCCAAAATCATTATCATCCACTCGTTGGGAAAGTCGTGTTGAAAGTGTCAAAGCTATAAGAACTCAAATGTCAGATTTTACAGAAGCTTTACTTGAAGTGTCAGAACATGATCTCGATCCTAAGATACAAAATGAAGCTAAATCCTTAGCAACTAATGAGCTTGGTGATTTTGAATTTTTGATGGCTATAATTATTTGGTTTGAAATATTATCTGCAATTAATTTTGTTAGCAAGCTTTTACAGGAAAAGGATATGCTTATTGATGTTGCTATGGAAAAAATAAAGGAGTTGATTTCATTTTTTGAAGGATATAGAGAAACAGGTTTTCATAAGGCATTGGTTAATGCTAAGGAAATTGCGGTTGAATTGAATATCGCTCCAATATTTCCTCAAAGGCGTATAATTAAAAGAAAAAGACAGTTTGATGAGAATTTGAATACACCAGCAGTCGAGCTATCTGAAGAGGAATCTTTCAGGGTTAATTATTTTCTTTACCTTGTTGATCAAGCTGTTGTTTCTCTTAATAAGAGATTTGAGCAATACCAAGAGTATGAAAGTATTTTTGGTTTCTTGTTTACTTCTCACAAGTTACAATCATTGGATGATGCAACTTTGAAGTCTTTTTGTAGTAACTTTGAACGAGTACTGAAACATAATGAGCAATCTGACATTGACGGGAATGAATTTTTTGAGGAATTAAAGTTACTAAGACAAATGTTGCCTGAAGAAATCATAAGACCTACTGATATATTATTATTTTCAAAAGGCTTGGATTGTTTTCCTAATACAGTTATTGCATATAGAATTTTGTTGACTATTCCTGTGACAGTTGCTTCTGCAGAAAGAAGCTTTTCAAAATTAAAGTTGTTAAAGACTTACTTGCGGTCTACCATGTCACAAGAAAGACTTAACGGATTGGCGTTGATAGCAGTTGAAAATGATCTTTTGGAGACAGTAAAATATGAAGATTTGGTTGATGAATTTGCTTCAAAAAGTGTTAGGAGGAAGGCTCTTTTTAAGTAGTTAGAAACTTTATATTGTATAAAAAGATATTATTAGTTTAAACAATACTTTGAATTTTTAGTGTATTTTTTTATTATTAAATTATATATATATTTTAGATTTAGGCCTATTTATTAAATTAAAACAGGGCCTCCAGATTGATTGGGCCGGCCCTGGTTTGAAGGGACATTATTATCTTTCTAATGTCCACCAAAAAGACAAGTCATTGCCTTTTCTCCAACACACCAAACTATTTGTCACAGTCTGCATGTAATTTGCTCGCTGTCTCTTTTTTTCTGTTTAGTGAGACAACATATATCCTATTAAGATTCCATGCAAAAACAGAAAACAAAAAGAAGAGAAAGAGTAAAAACATCACAGTATGCTCTAAACTAATTTAATTTTAGATGAATCAACATATAACATATGGATAGATTAATCACCATAGTTAAACTTTCTCTCCACAATCAATCAATGCTTAAACCTTCAAGAAACAATGTTCTAAAGAGATCCATTACATGCTTATTAAGAACAAGCCCAATTTCAATGCCACCATTGCCATCTTTGCTCTCTGCTAAACCAATTGTTAAACCTCTATCGATCGATACTATCTCCACCTTTTCCGGCATTCCCCAACCAAAATCAGTCTCATAAACACCAAATCTATTAGACCCTGCCACTCCTATAATTTCAACTCCTTCACTTGCCAAACAAGTATATTTAGCAAACACATCTTTAATTCCTTCAAAAACACCCTTTTCTTTTATCAGCTTTATTTGATCATAAATACTTTTAGTAACTAAATTCAAACCATCTTCTTTTATGAAATCCAAGGGTTGTGTATTGATGAAATGCCCTAATACACAGTTTCCAAAATAGTTATTTGGTATTGGTGGTTCTAACCTTGATCTGCAATCTATAGTGAAAGCAAAAGTAAACTTCTTTCTCTCCTTTTCAACTCCTTGAAAAGCTTTTGCAATACAAACAAGTGAATAAGCACATGTGAGAACAAATGACGATAAATTCCTTGGCTTTGATTCATTTGTGTTGAATATTTCCCATGTAGATAACACCCTTTTGTTCAACTTGTTCAAATCTTCACGTGTGAGCTTGAACGTAGCACGAACACAATCTTTGAGTTTTGGTTCAAAAGGTAGAATCTTCAAGCATCTTTTGTTTCCTTTTTCATTTGGAAACAACTTTGTCATGGTGTCCATCCAATTATTTGTTAATGTAACTTCGAGTTCATTTCGGTCTTTGATGATTACTCTATTGAATAAAGGCTCTAACTCTGGCAACAAAGTTGGTGTTTCTTCTTCGGTTTTAATGATTTTGTTGCATAGATAAGCCCAAGCTTTGATGAACATGGTTGAAGATTTTCCATCAAGAACTGCATGGTGTGTGCTGATACCAATGGAAAAACCACTTTCTGGAAAAAGGGTTACTTGAATTGAGAGAACAGAAGCAAAAGAATCTGTTGATTCTAAAAACGGTATAAGAGAACGAGACAATGAAGCTTCTTGTGGTGAATTTTCAATGACATGGTTGAAGTCCAAATCGGATTCTGCAATGAGCAATGAAACTCCATCATCATTATCATTGAGATTGAATTGAATGAATGGTTTTGGAGAATCCGAAGGCCAAACGATTCTACCAGCTAAAGGGAGAAAGTGTTGGAGGGTTAAAGATAGTGAAGATTTGAACTTTGGAACAAGTTTTTGGAAGAAGAAAGAGGGGTGTGATTGTGAAACTGGGAGGGTGTAAAAGAAGACACGCTCTACTGGATGAAACCTTAGCCAAAATAAATCAAAGTAAGTGAGAGGCTTTATTGTTGTTGTTATTTGAGTTGATGATGTTGGAACAACTTTGAAATGTTGGTGAATTTTAATGTTGTTGGAAGCCATGTGAAACAAAGTTTAGTGTTGTTTGAATAAAAGTTTTAGCTATGAAAGGATAGAAGAAAGTGTTTTTATAAAGGAAAATTAGAGAGACGTGGGGGAGAGAAATTGAGAGAGTTCAATCAAAATATAGAGAAAAATTGAAGTTTTGTTGATGTTGTTTTGCTACTTATTTTTCATTAGGACGGCAAAGAATACTTATTTGGAAAAAACTATGATTGCCATTAAAACAACAGGTGTTGTGAAATATCTTTGGTGGCAAAAGCAAAGATATAAACGGCTTTGGCTTTTTGTTTATCTATTATTTAGCATCAATGTGATGCTTACACCAATATCATTTACTGCACCGTATGCACTATTTATAAATACGCTAAATATTATTAAAAATAGTAAACTGTGTATGAATAATGTATAAACAGTATTAAATTAATAATACACATATATGAGAACAGTATTTGTCAATAGGGCCTGGACACGGTATATCAATAGTGATTTTTTATAGTAAAATAAAGCTGTTTAATAAAATATAAAAATTTAGTTAATAAAATGATAAAGTTGATTAATCAGACAATTTTATATTAATATTCTTTAATTAAAAATAAAAAATAAAATAAAAAAAATAAAAAATAAAAATTTAATAAAACATATTAGTATCCTTTTTCACTCTTTATCAAATTAGTACCGTAAACAATAAAACATGGTATAAATGTATGATATGGTCTAACAATATTATTTCTCTTTTTTATAGTCATCTCATTGGACTTACTATATCCAACTAGTGCAAAGAAAGTTCGGAGGTTAAAATATTATTTAAGTCATCATCTTCAAATGATAAGCTAGTTAGAGTTAGGTCTTAAAAGAATTAAGGGATCATTTATTTACTTTTCCCTATACAAATTAAAAACAATAGAATTTAGAAAATTCAGAGTATGATGCGACCACTATTCCTATTTGGAAAACCACTTTTCATCTTGCTTTATCTCGAGTGATAAGTCGAGGTAACATGGATTATCATGAAAGTGTGCCATTTTTCATCTCAAACCACTCATTTAACTAAGGTAAAGTTGAATGGGTTAAGTGATTCAAAATACTTTATAGGCATAATTAGTTCTTAAGTCCATTAATTTTGAGTGAAATTTTACTTTAATTTTTAAATTAAAAAATGTCATATAATGTTCTCTTAACTTCACTTCTATTAAATCATTTGGTCTCTATAGTTAGTTTGTATGAAAAACGTTAACTATGGTTGTGGAGGAATGTCAGATAAGCAAATGGTTAATTGAATCTCTCCATCTTCCATTTTGTTCTCCAAATTAGGGTTAAATCACCTTCTTCTTTCTTGAATCTTCCATTTTTTCTTCAAATTAGGGTTCGATGTTAAAGATTACAAACAATGCTTCAACTCCCAAATTGATTCATTTTCCATTTCCTTCTCCATATTGATTCCTTTTCCAACCCCTAAATATTCCTTCTATCATCTAATTATACCATCAATTAGGAATCAGATTTCTCAATTGCATCCTTTTAATTCATCACTTCGATTTCATCAATTGGGTCCAAAAGGGCCGTTTTTTTTTTTTGTAATTTTATTATTTGAAACTATTGTTGATAAAAACTATGATTTTTTAGATAGTTTTGTTGACAGGTCATGTTGAGACATTTTGTAATTGAATTTTTTTTATTAATTTTCATGTAAAATGGAGGAACAATTTTTTTTAGGTTATGAACCAATTGTTAATTTTGAAAGAGATGAGGAAGAAGAAGATGAATTTTGCAGCTGTTGTGAAGATGAAGAAGAAAGAGAACAACAAGAAGAAGAATGGAAAGAAACTAAAGAGACTGTAGTGACGAAAGGGTTGAAGGAAGAGCTTGATGAATTTTCAGTAAAAATGTACTTTAAGGGTTTGTCAATAATTGGGGTTGAAAATTAAACTATAGGGTTTTTATGGAAAGGTCATCGAATTTTTCTCAAATAAGGGTGCATAAAAGACTTGATTTTTATGTTGAGGAGCCTATGGTTTGTTGGAAGGTTAGTGGTTCAGTAATTAATATAAAATAAATAAATATTTCAACTCAGTCATTAATTAAAAGTCCAGTAAAACAAGTTTTAATGTATTTTCAACAAAAACTAAAGGTAATGACTAAAATACTTAACAAATTATAAGTTAATAGACCACTATGTAACATATTTTTTAGAGACCAAAAAGAAACATTGACAAAAGTTAAGGGACCAAAATAAGTATTAAGTCTAAGTTATATAAAAAATTATGTTTTTTTTTTTTAAATAACTTACATTAATCCATGTTTTTTTGAGCTTTATGCAACTCATCTTTCATCCCTCGCATTTTACCAGTTAGAATTTGGTTCAATACTTCTAGTTCTTCAATCAATGCTTCCTTCTCTAATAGTTTAATATGCAAAATATCAAAAAATTTTGACAAAGCATAAATCTTCCTCGTCCTCATCCTAAACATTCTCATCATTTTTAACGCTCTTTAACATATTTTATGATGCTTTAAGTTGTTAAGATCGAATTTTAAGTTTTGTTGCACACACAGGTTCTTTATGAACTCAATGTTTTTGCATGTATTTGTTTTTTATATAAATATAACAATAATTAAATAAAACTTCATTTAAATAAGCATGCATTTAAGAAAATAATTTTAGCAATTATAAGAGAAGATATTAAGTTAAGGAATAAACCTTGAAACATTTCTGGCTTTTGAAATTTGTTCTAGACAAAAGTATTGTACTTCATGCAACTATTTTCATTATCACTTTTCATTAAATTAAGTTTGAGTTTCAGCATGTAACATTATCACTTTCTGATTGGATGATGGGGTCTCACGCAAATTGTTGTTCTTTTGTGTGGATTGATCAATTGACAATGTTTTAGTCGTTGTAACTTGTTAAATAGACGTCAAAGATTCGATACTTTTTTTTACCAAACTAAACAACTTTTTCTCTCGGTTGGGAGGTTCAACCCATAACAAATCATATTTAATTTTAATCTTTAAAAAAAGCAAGGTGCCATATTTATTATTAATTTAAAAAAGGCCAATTTATTCCTCAGTTGAGAGATTCAACTATTCGGAAAACCTATTCATATTTAATTTAAAAATAAATAAAAAAGTTATATGTCATTTGAAAATATAGAAATGTAGTTGTTAGGAATTAAACCCATTACCATTGTCACTTTTCCCTTTCTGTTAAATAGTAGACCAGAGTAAAAATTCTATTTATTTTGAGTAAAAAAAGCAAAGAGCCCTATTTATAATTACTTAAAAAATTAAAAATAGGGAGATAAACTTTCCTATTAATTGAAAGATTCTACCAAGAGAAAATCTTATTCATTTTTAATTAAAAAATAAGTATAAAAAGAAATACACCAACAAAAATATCCAGCTTTAGCACTTTTACATTAAAAAAATCTAGCTATTAACACACATTTATCACTCTTACTAAAACTTATCATCTAGGCATGATTAGAATACCGTAATATACATGAAACAATATCAATTCTCAGCATGGAAATCCACCAAATAATAAGCTCTAGTCTTATGTGAACTTATGTGCTTGCAGATATTGTCAAAGATGATCCAAAGCGGAGAATTTTATGGATTGCAAAGCTGCAATTCAACTGAGTAGTTATTGAATTTTGATTATCAGAATACTTAATACAAATGATATATAGTGAATTCAATATCTATTAAAGATAGCTCAAGCGGTCGAAAATGCTCAAGATTCTTGATTAAAATATCCTTTTGGATCAAGCCATCCTCTTGAAGATGTTCTTCAAGATCAAGACATTTCTTTGAAGCCAACACTACGGTCAAAAGATATTCATGTGATTTTTTTTTCATGGTTCACCGGTGGTTGATGATCTTAACTCTTATATGACTGTAATCAACATGAGTATAGCTAAAGTCTCATTAAGAAGATTCAAAGTTATTGTATGATGCTAAACTTAAAGATAATGATGGCAAGACTTGAGAAAGAGTGAAATCTCATCTGATCGTGTTTATCTGAGTGACTAGTGTCTTCTAAACACACAAGGGTATTTCTAGAAATATTAAGGAAAATCATACACAAGCTAAAAATCTTTGAGAAGTCTATCACATTTTATTTAAACCAATTGAAAATATTTTTAGACCTAATGACCTAATCGATTTTTTTCACTAAGTTGATTCAAAAATAGATTAGAATTGTCTCTTAATAATTTGTATTGTCTAAATATAAAAACTTGTCGTTGTGGCTTGAAAAACCAAGTATTAGAGGCCCATAATCGATTATGGTATTGATTTTACCGGTAGATTGGTTTCATATTTAAACATTAATTTTTCCTATAAATAGAGAGCTTCTCAATCTCTTTTCAAAATTTAAAAATGGGCTCTGATCTCACTTTCATTTCTATAATCAATTTTACTAATCTCTCATTTTTCTCACATATATTTAGCCACAGTGCTTTGAGAATATTTTGGAGTCTAAGTGAGGGTCGTTGTTATGAGTGAGAGATTAATTGTAGTTTACCAATAGTGGATTATCTCTTGTGTATTTTGTTTATATATCAAGTTAATTTGTTTGTGAGATAAACCAGTTAAAAGCTCTTGTTTTGTTAAGGGATTGTCTTATGAAGTTTCCTTTTGGTTTGTGAGTTTCTATAACAAGAAAAACTTCATTTTTGTTTGTAAAGATCAACCATTAAAATCTCCATAATAGTTCTTGAGCTCAACCAAGTTTAAAGCTCTATCGGTTCATGATTATCCTCATTAAAATCTAACTTGGCTCTTGAGTTCAGCCTCGTAAAAATATTTTCAAACTCTAATTTTCCATATGATTTTTTTTCAACAAAAGTTTTTTGAACTTCAGCAATTCACTCCCCCTCCCCTTTATGTATGGAGTCACATGTCCAACACATAACTTAAGGGACAGGAAATCCATCTTTAAAATTTGAAATAATGATGATGACGACGACGATGATGATTAATATTATTATCGTTATTCTT